TGGTTTCCTCATGAGCACCGCGATATGATCTCAATCCGTACAGCGCCGACTTTTGTTTTGCTGGTTCTGGGATAAATAACGCCAACGTCAATAATCTGGTGTCTGCTACCATCACAAGGTCAGTGGATGCAAAGGGGAGCTCAAACATGAAGCTGTGATGTAACAAACCTAAATGATGGTTTCATTCTCACAGTCTGCTTGTAATAAATGTGTAACAAATTCAGCTGCTAAAATGTACATGAAAGACCTCTAAATCTGTGCGCAGTCCAAATAACAAACAAGCCAGGCAGTTTCTCCTCCTTCCCTGTGTGCACCTTTCAAACTCCTCAGCGAGCTCTGTTACACTGTTTTGGCAGGAACTCTTTCTCTCTATGCCTGGATTTTTATTTTTTTGTTCTTAGTTAACATCTTGAGAGGCATTTAGTTCTGATGAGGTGGAATATTTTCTTTCTGCCTTAAATGAAAGCAGTGTTAGCCAAGGTCAGCTCTTCACGATGAGAAACCTGAGCTTCTCTTCTTTTCCTTGTGAGCCGAGCCTCTAACAATGACGCTCTGTAGTTTCCTTGTGTAGCTGCTGCACTTTACAAACACATTCTGCACACAGGGGGAGCATTTATAGTACAATGTGTCTTAGCTCTGCTTTCAGCTGTGCAGTTACCTTGAACTGCGGAGATGTCAAGGGATTCAGTCTTAGAACAGCACGTTCCAAACAAGTTCCAATAAGGTGCAAGTTTCTTTCTTTCTTTCTTTTTAATCTATGAGAAGACAGACAAGGCTATTTGAGTCATATATAAACCTGAGGCATAACAATATTCCTCTCAGTGGCTTCAGCTGCTGTGTCCACATAATAAAGTTTGTTTTTGTGTTGGTACAGTGTGTCTTCCTTATAGCTCTCTGGACTAATATGCTGTGCTGTTTTGGGGTGGGTTTCCTGTTAGAGCACCGTATAGTTAGAGTTCGAAAAGTGCTTTGTTAGGGTTAGGTTAAGTTTCTTTGAATGTGAGGTTAGTTATTTCTGCCTCCAGAGTATATCTCAGCTGGTGTATCTATGTGTTGTAAAATGCTATAATGCTGTTAAAACACGCCAAACAACATCCTAGCAATACAGCATACTGTCTTCTGAATCATTATCGTAAAATGCATGAGGTTTTGTACCTTAATCTCCGACAACCTGTTTTATAATTTAAGTTATATATATATTGTGTTGGACCGTAACCCCAATGCATATTAATCCTCTTTAGTTTATATTTTAGCATTTACGTTTCACGTTGCATTTACATATTTGCCCAAACAATTAGTCAGATTGCACAGATGCAATCACAAGTAACCTTCGTATGCACCTCCAGTTCTGTTCGAGTGCAAAGAGGCGCTGACAGCTGAAGAAAGGCCTTGATCATTGTAGCATTCCCCAGACAGTCAGACCTTCAGTCAGTCAGTCAGTCAACTCGCTAGCTAACCCTCACTCAGCATTCATTATTAATCACAGAATTACACTGGGGCGCTCTGTGGGTTGAAGGGGGACAAGTTGTGATAGAATATGCAATTGTCTGCATAATACACAGCAGGCGAGGTATCAGGCGCTGATATGAAGCACGAATATTGCATGAGATTTCTGCACTTATTACTGTCAAATGATGGTGGCGGCGTCAGGGGCAACGGCGAACACTGTGAGCGCAATTCACAGAACCAAGAGCAGTGTAAATAAAATCTGATTGGCTGGGGATATTGTGTGTATAAAAATCAGCTTGAGGCATGCAGTGATTTGCCCACGCAGAAAACTTTGTTGAACCTACTAGCTTACAAAAATGTGTTCTTGTCCACTCGTATTCCTCCGTGCTGCCCAGTGATGGACGTTGAAGCATTATGACCTCCGAAGCTTGAGCAATATGTTAGAATTGGCAATTTACCAACACCTCTTTAGCTACAGGAAGCTTTGACTGCCAAGTAAATAGTCACAGTCTCCCACTGATAACCTCTGGTCAGCTCCACAGAATTGTGTGGGAGGTAAGCACCATTAGCTAGGATGAGACAGGAGTGTCATTCATTCATTCATCACAAATGACTGTTGATCTTTTCATTCCCAAACCGGCTTGTTGTTCCGCTGGCCTGCCACTTACAAGAGCATTGCATCATTTTAAATAGAATCAAATGCGTATGAATCAAAAGGAAACTCTGAGCCGTGACTGTGTGTTGACATAATCTCGATTCAAGAGCGATGTAAGGCCTCCTCTAGAATCCGACGAGACACAGAAAGAGAGAGAGAGAGAGATAGCAACAAGGTGAGAACTAATGCGGCCGGGTTTAGCTTCGCCTTTGATGTTTGTACCAGCAATCCAAGGTGCTCAGAGCCTATCTGTCCTTGAAGTGAACACACCCAGGAATCCCTGGAGTGGAGGAAGATATTCTAATCATTGAAAAAACTAAAACCTAGGGAGGAAAGTTTACTCCCCCCCCCATCATAGTTAATGAAACATTGCGTGCCATCACTACTCACGATGCATATTTGGCCTGGAGTTAGAGCGGCATCTGGAAATACTTAACATGGCGAGCGCGGTAGTTTATGTAGCAGATGACCATGAGTTCATGCAGACTTTAGGTGGTTATATTTGCTAAATTGTCCAAAAAAGTCTTTAAAATTCAGGTGATGTGGGACAATTTCTTTCTTCTCTCACGCTTCATCTACTTCACAGACAAGTAACTCTTTTGAAATCTGTTTTTTTTTTTTTTAAATCAAAAATCTGTCAGAATCCCAGTTGTATCTGTGCCGAGCTACTATTTAATATTTTAGGTGAACTACTGATGAACTCAATTTAGGAACTGTGTTTATTGAGTGCAGTGTTTCTTGATATGAGGCAATTTTTAAGGAACCGTTACATCCTACTAAAACCATAGCTCTGAAATGAAAGTTGGCCTGCAAGGAAGTGTTTATACGCTTGTGTTTGATTTCATCATCAGTGACATCTTCAAGAGTCTAGTCAATCAAGCAGTTTTGCTGCCAGGCTTTTGTTTTCTCGGCCATCAAAGGAAGAAGAGCCTCTGGACAGGTTTACGTGAATGGCAGAATGATTCATCCCATGGTATGAAGCATCAAAACCAATTTGCACTGCAGTATTGGACACTGGCCTTTTTTCTTTCTTTCTGTCTGTGATGTCTATATTTCGGAGGCGTTACAGTGTGAATATTAAGGTCAGCTTGACATATTGGTTGGTTGAAAGTAGAGAGTGTGTTCCCTAATTATTAAGAATAACATATTCGTCAGAGTTCTGTCAGTCTCCTGTATTTATTTAGGAATAAATCAGCAGGCACAGTTTTTTTTTCTAGGGGTCTTTCTGGGAGAATATTAGTGTCTGGAAAAATATCAGCATGTTTTCTACCTACTGATATGAACAGAAAAAGAAAATAGAGCACAAGTTCCTCAAAAAACCAATTATGAACTTTAAAAAATGAAAGTTATATTTGTCCATATTCGATGGAAACGCACAGAAAGGTCTAGTGGATCTAAAATTTAACCTTGTGGTACAGTACAAGTTAAAAGTGAGTTTAACTTGAAAGAAGCATGACAGCATCTCCAAGGATTGTGCTTTATATGTCTTTGAAATAACAGCTCTATGACAGATTTAAGTAGCCAGGTTTCCTTGTCATTTTTTAAAGGGTCTAGAGCAGAAGTTCTTCAGGCTTTCTGAAGATTCTCAGAAGGTTTTTTGAGGGGGACACTGGCATTGGGGACCATTTTTAGGGGAATGTTTTTTCACCAACAAAGTGATTAGCCAAAAACGTGAAAACTATTAGTTAAAATGTGGCTTATTTTGGCATCATGGGCAGTATGTCCTTAAATTTGTGGAAACTGGATAACAACATGCATCTTTAGCTGATCCATCTACTGTTTGCTGAAGCCTCGATCAGAAATGGTCTCAGTGGAAAGGTGGCTGTCATGAATCTGATCTGGACTGATCAACAGGTCTAATGGATTGATTCCAAATTGGTTACGAATAACTGTCAGTACATATGGAGCATGTGAGGAGAGAGGTGAGTGTCTACAGCCATCTCTGAACCACGGTTGAGGCCCTGTCATGGTTTGGGGCTATATTTCAGTCAGTGTCGTTGGGGATCTTATTAAAATTGATGTAATTATGAACGCAGAAAAGTACGGTCGGATTTTGATCCACCAGCATGGCAATGATTTCAAACACATAGTCACTGCAGTAAAAGCCTACATAGATAGAAAAACACAGAGTGGAGCACAGTCAGTCGTGGACTGGCCTCCCCAGAGTCCGGACCTCAATGTTACTAAAGCAGCGTAGGGTCATCTTGACAGAGAACACAACAAAATAAAGTCAGTGTCCATAGAAGAGCTTTGAATGTCCTTCACAAGCGCTGGAGAACTATGAAGGGCTCTTAAAAGGAGTTTAAGAGTGACTTCCCATTTATGTATGCACATGTTTCAATAACTCATTGCACTAACTTCCCATTTACCTAGAAAAAAATGTGGTTGTGCAGGAATTTGCATACTAATACATATCGACTATGCAGTGTCAGCATCTTTTTTATTTGTATTGATTTTTCTCAACATTTTGTGACCTGTTACTCAAATTTTTTTGGTTCATGGTTGTGTCAAAATAGATAGCAGCTGTTGGCCCACAGTACATTTTAAAGACATGATTTGGATAATTTAGTAAGCGTGTGCATCATTCCAAAACTTACAAAACATCCATCTTGGATTGCCTTAGTCCCCACAACAACGCAGCACATTTTTAAAAATTAATTTAAACAGTTTGATGACTAAAATCCCACGCTGCTCCAACAAATAACAAACGTAACCTTATGTGGTGTTCTCATGTCCCTTTAGTTTACAGAGCAATTGAAACTCCTTTATGCAACATCCCCTGACATCTACATGTCACAATAAAGCTTCTCGACTGCGGCTAGCCCCGGCATGTAGTGCAAGGGCCCAATTAGTCCTACTTGCAGCTTTAATTTTTCATGTTGTGTTTAATCCACAGATCTTCCCTGGCAGACTGAACAAACGAGTTGACTCCAACAGAGCTACGCCTCTCTTCAGTCTACTTGTGGTCTGACGGCACTCACCAACATCAAAGGTAAGCCCCCCTTTCTCTCTACACCTCCTGCTTCCTTTAATCACTTTGTTCAGTTCATCATTGCTGTAATTGCATTTCCTGATTTTTTTCCCCTTGTCTTGCAAATCCGAGACTTTGCTTTCTCTGTTATCGCGCCTCGAAGGAGCTTCCTTTCAATTGGCTTTGTCGCTCAGGTGCCTTATGTGCTTTTTATGTCAATACATTGAGAGGCGTTTTCTCTCTAGTAACTGTGCTCTTATTTCAGCGATCCACACAGTTAAATCACTGGTGGTAAATGTCAGTAGAAAAGCAATGTTAGCTCTCTGCACAGACTGTAGTGTGTTTTAGAGGTGAACGGGAGATGACGTCGTTCTGGTCCAGTTTCTAAAAACAAACTGTGTAATTGAGTATTTGAGGTGTGAGTCAGTCATATATAAGTGCAAGACAAAAGCAATTCTCAAGTCTCAGTTAAGTTCCACATTGATGTGGTGGAAATAATTAAGTTCATTGCTTCTTCCGAAGCTTTTAAAAGAGCAAATATCAAATATCTTGATCATCAGAAAAGAATGCATTGTAATTATGAATGAATCAGTGCCTGCTGTGATTAAATTAAGACCTGGGCTTTAATCCAGTTTCTCTGATGCCTTGCTGTGGCTTATCTACCTGAGCTCGGGTCACCATATCAAAACCTGTAGACTATGTTACACAATCTTATTCAACAGACTCCCAGTTAATTTAGTTAGGGTGTTATCAGAGTCTAGCTGACTTACTAATGCCAGTATCTTGCTAACCACAAACACATAATGTTTAAGAGGATCTAGTCCCTCTGGATCAATCATAACATAAAATCTACTTGCATCACAGTGACTGTGCTTAATAAACATTCATGAGGTCTTTGAGTGCACTGGCATTTTTATATAGCTTTATAACAACACAGCAAACAAAGTAATGGCAGCCTACTGGGCTTACAGTTCAAATGAATGTGGCATTTAAGTTATATTGCATATTGTATCTACATCATGGTAAAAAGAAAAGTACACCCTCTGTCAATTCCAAAGTTTTATATATCAGGGAATAATAAAAGATTCTCTAGAATTTACCAGGTCTTAAAATGATGTAACAACTTGAGGTGACATTGTTTATTTTATTATTTATTAAGTCTTGTGTATTTATTTAACAATAATGCAGAAGCAGTGTTTGGAAAGCTGACTCTACAATACTTTGGGATAAAGAGGAGTTCATGGTAGACTGCAAAACAAGCCCAAATAGAGAATAGAATAGAATAATCCTTTAATTGTCCCACAAGGGGAAATTTGGTTGTAACAGCAGCCAAAAAGACACACATACAAACAAACAGTAGACAGGACACAGAACAGAAACATACACAATTTTTCTTACATATTTACATTAAGGACAATGGTTACCATATACAGAGAGTACTGTACAGTTATTAAATTAAATAAAAATAACTACAGATAAGAGGCAAACCAGGTTGTAGTGCGAATCGGTTAATTAACTTATTGCAGTTGCAGCGCAGATGTAAACATCTATGTTTGTTGGGAGCAGTTCTGATTGTGCAGTCTGACAGCTGCAGGGGGGAAGGACCTGCGGAAACGCTCCTTCATGCATCTAGGATGCAGCAAATCATTACTCTACCACTACCATGCTTGACAGGTGATATGAGGGGTTTTTGCAGTGTTTTACCAAATGTAGCACTTTGCTTTATGACCAAACTTCTCTGGACAGATGAAGAGCCACTTGGCCAGGCTAAACAGTGCTACCATGCTCTTTTTTTTTTTATCAGAAAGACAAGACTTTCTCCTAAAAACTCTTACAAACAAGCCACATTTATTCAGTCTCGTTCCAATTGTAATATTATGAACTTTAACATTTAACTGAAGCTAACTGTTAACTGTGAGGTATAGCTCTTAGATTTTTTTAAGTATTGCATGCGCTGACCTTTGGATGAATTTGCTTGGACATCCACTCCTAGGAAGATATGTAGCTGTTTTGAATGTTTTTCACATGTGAATAATTTTTCTCACTGTACAGCCTTCTATTTCTTTTGGCTGCTCACTTTTGGACACCACAGCGGCTCATCTGCCTCACTTTGATCCTGTCTCTAGCATCCTCCTCTGTCATAGAAAGCCTCTGCTCGCCCTCCTGCCATATATTCATGACTCTTTTCTTTCTCACTGTAGAATCGTGGAATCTTTTGGAAACAGCCTTATAACCTTTCCCTGTCAGCAGCAAACTCTAAGATCATTGCTGATGTCTTTCCTGCTTGGCATTGTGTTAACACACACCTGAATGCCCAAACCAGCAAACTGGTAAAACCTCTGCTTTTTCTGAGGCGCTCACACTTGCTACTTACTCTCTTAAATCCTATATAAGCAGTAATCGTCTGCTTAGTTTCTTAAGACTGCTTCTGCATTTTAGTATATGTCATGTTTTGTAGCTTGTCTCAGGTTTTATTTGCCATATTTTGTAAAGGGGTGTACTTTCTCTTCACCATGAGGTTACTTTGTATGTAATATGAAGTACTTGCATAAGATTTTCCACATTATACAGGACAGGTAAACACCAACTGAATTTCTTTTCTTCTAGCTGTGAAAATGTTTAGTTATGGAGCCCACACCTCGCTAAGCTTTGCTTATCCTGGTGTCACTCAACAATGCTCCTGTGGGCATTAGCACTCACTTTAATGTTCCTCAAAGAAATGCAACAGGAATACTAAATCAGAGGGAGGATCAGTCCCGGTGACCGTGCATTTCTTTCTTTTATTTCCTGTTGCATCTCTGTTGGAAGTGTTCAGAGCATCTTTGCATATCGGATATGTACTGGAAATGGCAGTCATCTTTCAGTAACATGTATTAAATAGCAATTCACTTAAAAAAATGCTTTTTTTACAAGTGTTTGATAGAATAGAATAGAATAGAATAGAATAGAATAGAATTCAACTTTATTGTCATTGCACATGCACAGGTACAGGGCAACGAAATACATTGATGAATCCTGTGTCATTTTTTCAAAGACAAAAAGAAACTATAAACTATCACTTCATCACTATAGTATCTGCAACGGCCTGCAAGTCCCACTTCAAGCTGACTTTCATGTTCTTGAGTAGCTCTTGAGCAGCTTATAAAGGTTTCCTGTGGCTGAGCAAAAATATCCAACACAGCAGCTAAGTGTCTGTCATTATAATGAATCACTTAGCTGTCAGTCACACTCCATGAGAGCTTTGACGTATTGGACTTCTTAGCAAAGGGTAAAAAAAATCTCTTAAATGGCTGAAATTACTGGCTCTGCGATGACACTTTAAGGTGGAGCAATACTACTAATATTTCCAATTTGTCTTCTGACTATATGAAACGTCAACAGCGGAAAGAGATTAAAGACTGCACACACACACACACACACACACACACACACACACACACACACACACACACACACTCTAGGAGGAGCAGGTGCTTTTAAGTACCCAATTGTGCCGCTGTGAGCTGCATCCTCAGATGTGCATCAGATGGGTTTAGGCAAAGAATTAATTTGAGCTGCCTCTAGAAGGGGTAAATTGGCAGTAAGGGGTGGGGTGGACTGGGGGAACAGCACCACCCACCTAGTCCCTAATCAGGTGAATGTTCCTAACTCAATATCGGGCACCAATGGTCACACTCAATTATCCTCATCCTCTACCTCCCAATCTGTTCCCCCAATTCCCTAATAACCCCCTAGCCAACTCCCTCAAGATATGAGGCTTCTGCTCTTGTTGGCCTCCTCAGGAGCAACACATCCAGTCAGTCTTTGGTCTCTGATTCTTAAAATTTACCAAAGTCAAAATGAAAACAGTGGATATTTGGGGAATATGTAAAAAGTTTAAAGATTCACACTTAGCATGAATACTGGGAAAAGGCAATAATAGCTCTGTTGTAAACTAACCTGATGTGAACCTGAATCTCACAAATTAGCATGCCATATTTTATGTTTTATCTTGATTGAAAATTAGATCATGATAAATCAAACACTGGAAAAAATCCTAAAAACTAATATCGCATCATTTGACTCGCCTTAAACTTCCAAAATACCTCCCGGCTGCAAAGCATTAAGGGTTTAACACCCAGTCCTCAGTGGAATAACGGGTTATTTTTACAGATGCACTTGGCAAGTTTCCACATTGGCTGTTTCAGATGGTGATACGAGGTAAACTGCTGGTGTGTGTCTGTACACAGCACTGCTTTACACCAGAGGAGGAAAAGAAAGGACAGAGCTCAAATCTTTGCCGTTCCACCTTTCCACTGGTCAGAGCCTTTGTGTAATTTAGGCAGATAACCAGACCGCTGGCGCCTCACTCCTTTCAAGCTGTTCTTGAGAATAACATCAGTTCAAATGTCTGCCAGTTTACTACAGAGAGGGGTTTGATGGCAGAGGGTCTTGTCATTGGAAGATTTGTTTTAGGGGAGTCCAACAGACCTGATGAATAAAGTGCCAGGGATTTATTACAGGATTTTCCAGCAGGCCTTTGAAGTGAGCGACTGCTGCCTCTCATCTACCAATCCACACTCAAAAATGTGGCCGTGTGGATATATTTATTACCGGGCTATTTTTAGAGCGGTGAGTTTTTGCTAAAGCGAGTTCACTGCTGAGGAAAAGCCTTGCAACAGCGCAAGTGAAGCGTCAGCTCTGCACATGGAATATGAGCTTGTTTTCCTTTTAATTAAAGATGTTTACGCCTTAAGAGTAGTGAGATGTAACCCACTTCTCTTTGTGGAATTAATTAAACAGTTTTCTTTTTTTTCTTTCCTTTTTTTAAATATCATCTCTTTGATTAGTTTTCATTCCTTCCACACATAAACTTCATGTAGTGGCACACACAAGTGACACTCCACACCCCTGGAGTTGTATTTTGATATGTTTCCACCACATAAAGTTTGGGAGTAATTAGGGTGTATCTAAGAACATGGCTATGTTTTCATCCCCTCTGACCCAGGCCGTTATCAAACATCTGCTGAACCAAAGCCAAAAATAAAAAACGAGGGCTGTCATGGTGGAAGAGGGGAATTCTTCAGATGCCCCCTCCCTGACCATTCTGGGCTATTTTAAGTATGGCCAGAAGTTGGTGTGTAATGATAAGCTGTGGGGCGTAGCTGACATGCCTGCCATATAATTCCCTTTATGACTCAGGAAGCAATGGTTACATTGCCCCCCTAACCCTCCAGGGGTGTGAATCATTAGAGTCTGTCCGCAAATATGCCCAATCAACATGGCCTATGGGACTCTATTTCTGTCACTTATCTCAAGTAGTGGATAACTTTGAAAACAGACAAGGATGCTATTTTTGAGCGCAGTTTTCCATTTCCCAGCCCTGTTTCCATTTTGAAACCTGACCGGCTGATTACCGTAAACTCAAACCAGACATAAATGTTTTAGGAAGAACAATTCATTTAAAAATACTAGATTCTCGAGAGTTATAATGAGAGATTTTGTTCCTGTAAACAGAAAATGAAACATTTTCTTTTGTTCAGATGGTTGTGGAGTTTAACTTTGGAAGCACATTCTCCTTGGTAGTATTGCAAGAAAGAGCCAGACTCCACTCCAAATAAATAAATGATCAGCATGTAGGAAACTTCAAAGAGGGATTGTGTGCTTCAAAGGCCCTTATTGGTGCTCACCGGATCCTATTGTAAAAGAAGGCTCTTTTTATGCACACATGTACACACCCTTTGAAAGCCATACATTCTGTTTTGGTATCCAAAGCTGTTTAAGATTCAAATGCTTGCATCTGCATTGGTGAACCCCTGCTGAGCTAGACCGCCTCCTCGAGACAAGATCAGCTAGAAAATATCCAGAATGCTTTGATATAATGCAACTGCTGACTGAGTGTCAGCTCTTGATTTTTGTAGAGAACCTTCTTGTTTAACCTTCTAGTGTCTGCCACGTCAACCAATATGCAGTATACAGCATATCATGACTTTTAAATGAATGCAAATGTCTTTACTGATGCACACGGGAAAAAATGACAGTTTCTTAACATGTCAGGTCGTTAAAAACGTGACAGTTTGTTGGAAAAATATCTATATTTTTGTTTATTGGGCAATCCACTCTGGCAAAATTGGAATGTTTTAAATATTTTTTCTTCTTTTAACTGTGTTTTTCTCCCACCACAGACTTTCTCTATCAGTTGCTATTGCACGCTAACAATACATTTTCAATTAATCACATTATCACCCTTCACCAGTGAACAGGGGAATCTGGAGGCCCTGGGATAGCTGCCAACTTTGCATGATTAATGTTCTAGCTGTAAAAAATGGAGCTACACTTTGAGTAATGAAGCTTTTTTTTTTAAATATAAAAAGCATTTTTTTATTTTTTAATAAAATGTGGACAAACTTTAATAATGTGATGATGCTCCAATACTTGTTTCTTTACCTTTGAGTTTACTACAAAGTCAGGTAGTTAAAAGAGCCGTTTGGTGTTTTCTATGTTTCACTTCTGTTTTAATCTCTTCCATTTTCTCTTTTGTCTTCCCTTCATTTCTCTTCCCCTCTCCCAGCTCTCTGTTCCTTTTGCCGTTTCATCCCTCTGCTTCTGTTTTGAGAGAGGGATGTCTCTTTTCTAACAGCTCTCAGCCTGCTTATCTACTAGGTCTGTATTACTGTGGGTTTTGTATGTCCAACCACCCATTTGTTATTGTGCTGTCAGCCCCCTCGATATCACACCACCATCAGTTATGAATATCGGGCTGTGTGTGTGTGTGTGTGTGTGTGTGCCATTGATGTGCTCTGTAGCCTGCTAATGTTATTTGGAAATCCTGATTGTTTATGATAGATGGCGTGTGTGCCTGATACCAGGCCTGGGTGTCCGTTTGGGTGGCTGTGGGAATCTTGCATGTGTTGGATTTGTGCCTGTAACAGCGCCTGTGTGTCAAAATGCATTATGGCTCTCTGCATGACTATATCCAATGACAGCGCCGTTCCTCCACGCTTATGCCTATGACTGTTCATTTGTAGGGCTGAGATCGTATCCAGAAAGAAAACAAAAACAAACAAACACAAAAAAAATCTTTGCTTTTGTGAGTCTCCACTGTGCTGTTGCATCCCCTTTGTTGTTTTTAGAACTGGTGGATTAGGTATTTATTTTTCATCCCTGATATTCTTGCAGATCTGCAGTGAATGCTATCTTCGGTGCCAGGATTGTCTTAATTATAAGAAAGGCTCAAACTTCTGAAAGCAAACACATAATTGGCACCCTGCAGTGCATCCTCATTAATGTGTTTGCTGTGCTGGCCTGCAGTATCAGAGACTTTGTAGTCACCCTTTATGAGGAGAATCTGAGCATGTCCCTTCAGGGTGTTGGCTGGAGAACGCACGGTCAGAGTGACAAAGATTTGTCTGTAACAGATACACTCTTTGTGTTATAACCCTGTTTCCCTTATCCAGTCACCCACCCTAATTGTTCTATTTTCATCTGTCACGGTGGTCTTTGTTAAAGCTTGTGTATCCTGTCTTGGCCAGCAAACAAGCCGTTTGTTTTGACTTTGATCTGGAGGCATGCGTCAGCCATTTGATGTCACTCATCCAGCCTTTTTTGGGTCTGGGTGTGTTAAATGACCTGGTGCCCCCTCTTCCTCCCCCTTTTCTTCCCTTGGAAGATCTGTAAAACCGCGACCGACACTGAACATGGAGGATTATGATGTTCGCTCAGCCGCCAGCATCCTGGCCTCAGTGAAAGAGCAGGAGGCACGTTTCGAGCAGCTGACCCGCGCCCTTGAGGAGGAGCGTCGCAACGTCAACCTACAGCTAGAGCGTGCCAATCTGCCTCCCAACCCCCCCACCAGCCAACCACTACCATGGCAGCAAGTGGTGATGCAGGTAAACGATGCCAGCACACTGGCCGACCACCCCCCTCCACTCCTTGTCCTTTTCAACCACCAACCTGCGCTATCATGTATCTCCCTCCATGCATCTCTCTCAAATATGACACCTCTTCTGCTCTCGCCTTCCATCTGAGCCGGCTCATCCCATCACCATGTTTGCTCGTGGTCATTGCTTTTCATCATTCGTGGGACCCCCCGCAATCTCTCTGTTCAATTTCCCTGTAATTTTGATACTTGTACCCATTGTATGACTCCAATGTCCTGGATGGTGTTCAGTAATCTGCTGTGCGGTGACTCATCTTTAAAAGCGAGCTAATGAGATTCAACCTCTCATTCTGTCTTCTTTCGCCCCCTCCTTCTATGCCACTGCCATCCAATCCCATCTCCTTTCGCCCACTGGTCTTTGATATTGTCTGGTGGTGGTGCTGATTGGATGTGGCCTTTTGCCCAGCCCTGGCCAGCGTCTGGGGGACATTAGATTCCTGGCGAGGGTTTCTGTCAATACTGGCTGACTCTGCAAGAGCAGGAAATGCAAGATGTAGAAATAAGACAGCTGCAGTCTCCTTAAAAATGACAGCAGTCACAACATGCACATTCATTTGCATGCTACAAACTGATGGAAAATGTTGCAATTAGAGCTTTTTTTGTTAAGAACGCCCTGGTCAGGTGACATGAAGTCTTATTTTTCTGCTTATTTTCAGTCTTTGAAGATCTGACTAACCTACACATTTCAATTTTGCTGACTTTCCCAGGCATAATCACTTCTTTGAAGAAACCCTTTCAGACTGTACACATGTTTTACTAACTAGAATTTGAAAGCACAGTTTGGTGATGCCGCACCTGTGGTGCTTGGATACATCACCTTTAATCACAGAGAAGGAGGCGGTCTCATGTATTATTGATATAGCAAGACGTGCAGAGAGAGAAATGCTTTGTCTACATTTGCCTGTGCTTGTATTTGCCCATAGTTACAATTTGTTAACAGTCCGTGCTAGTCTTCGTTTTTTTAAAGGGCTTGCTGCAAATTTGGTCTCACGAAGGGTTAATGAAGAGAATGTGGGAAAAGTGTAAAAAGGGTAAAATAAACTTGTCAGTCACTCACACCAAAAAGGTAATATCTTGCTCTGTGTGTAAGAGAGAAGGAGGGAGAGCGAGACCCTCCCCTCCCCAGAGGTTAGCCTAATTTGGAGAACAGCGAATTGGCTCTCACTCTCAGACATCCCCCTACCCTAACTGTTTGTGAACCAAGGGGTTAATTTGGCACAACTGAATACTGCTGTTTACCTGTTTACATCACTTTGAAATGTCATTTTGCCACCAGGAATTTTCCTGCTGGCGTTATCGTAAATGCTTAAATGCCAGAACAATTTCTATGCAGGCATTTGAGGATGGAAGGGGACGTTGATCAGTGCCTGCTCAGCACCTAAGTCCTTGGCAGCTGCCTTTGCCCAGCCTTTCTGTGCCAGGTGTTACCGTGTCTGTGTCGTGAGATGCTCTCCATTCAAATAACGATGTGGCACGAAGGATGAGGAATTATTATTTCTTTATCTCTGCTTCCTCCTTGTTCAGCTCCCGAACACACACACACACATACTCGCATGCAGTCCAAACGCTGTATGATGGATTACGATGGCGCATGGATCATTGACTCAAGGTTCAGATTCACAACCCCGGGGCCAGACACAATGCATAATTATTTCAAGTTGATGTCAGGAAAGAAAAAAGTGGACCTGCTCTGATGAATGAAATCACATGCAAGTAGACACCTAATGAGCGCAGTAAGCCACTGATCTTGATAGCACCCCACCACAGGGCGCTCACCTCGGCACAGACTGGGTCTCAGCATCAGTGGGCAGTGCGCGCTCGTTTATGCCTTTATCACTGTTGTCAGCTTTTTAACACAGGCTGCTCAGTGGGCAGCAAATAAACAGAAGCGATGGTTTATTTAAACATATCCTCACAGCACTTCATGACCTGTTACAAATGAAACACTCTGATGCTCAGTGCTCTCAAGTTTCTTTTATGTTGCCCTGAACACAAACTAATTGACTCAAATGCATCATACAATCATTTGGAAATATAGCACGTTTTCCACAATAAATTTGAAGCCAAGGCTCGTCCGTATAGTATGTATGTTGTTTGCCTTTTCACATGTTAAACTGAAATCCCAGTGACTGTTTGGAATTTGTGGAACTTAGTCCATGTGTTCATGGTCCGCAGAACATCATTTATTTATTTATTTATTTGTGAAGACCTTTCATCTCACGCAACATGAGATCGACTTTTTGTTATTTGCAAAATGACTCAAGAACTATTAGATGAATTGCCATGATGTTAACCACAAACATTTGTGATGCCCACAGAAAAAATCTTTGGAAATTTGCAGTAGGTTGTCATTATGTTATTGTTTTATTACCATCACAGTGTATTGAATATATGAACGCTAACCGTAAACCCAGAACCAGCTATCCGCTCTTATTGAACAAGAAATTTGTGAAAAATGTTGAAATGACTTCATAAATATCCCCAATTTGAGATGGTACTTTTTGAGATAAACATAAGCGGGATTGAAGGATTTCCCTATATGGAAAATTTCATCTCATTGTTGATCCAGGTTCCAGTTGACTCCCAACTCTCTCTCAACTAGCTTCTTCTGTGCTAAAGCCGTTTCTCCTGTCTTGTCTAGTTTCTTGTCATGCTCATCTAGAACTTTCTGAAGCACTTGTTCAATATTTCTGGAGTCTGGAGTTGAGCTGTCAGAATGGTTGATGTCCAGGTTTTCCTGGTCTTGATTTACCTTTGCTGCTCTAGCATTTGTTTACAGTAGCAACTTTCCGTTCGATCCCCATGTACTGCTGCCTCCACGTATGCTTTCGCAAGTCCACTTAAACTTTTTGAGAATTCCAGCAGCAAAGAGTGGTGTGCCTCCTAAAGTGCCCCCAAAAATCCTATAACCACACCTTCTCAGGTTTGGACAAAGACTCTTGCATTGCCAATCCAAGACGACTAGGTCCTTCAGACCTATTCTATGAAGCTCTCAGTGCACAGTATTTTTGCTGAAGTTACTAATCTATAATAATAAATTACAATACACTTATGGCTCATTGTGGAATAAGGACATTTTGCAAATTGACTTGTTGCAACAGTGACATCCTATTACAGTACCATGTTCAGATTAATTTAGCTCTTTTCTCACTCTTCTTGCAGTTGGGACCCTGGCTTTAGTAAAACCATGGTCAAATTTGAGCTATGGTGTGGGCTATTGAATAGCAGTAGCCCAGAGGAGAATGAACATACCAAACTTTATGCTACCATTTTTCAGGCTGTGAACTTTTTTATTTATTGCCATATTCACAACATACTTCATACCGTGTACATTATAACATACCGTAATAGACCCATTTCTGTAATATACTCACATATCTATATTATTGCTAATATATATTGTAATATATCTATATCACTAAAGCACTTCTGGATGGATGCAAACTGCATTTCGTTGCCCTGTACCTGTGCATGTGCAATGACAATAAAGTTGAATTCTATTCTAATTCTATTCTGTTCTACAGGTCAAACATTGTTCAATACTCACTTTTTGAGCACATCGATGCAAAGTGATTGTATTCATTATCAGCTTTCAGATTCAGTTTAGTGCTAATTAGCAAAGATGCTTACATGTTAAACTAAAATGGGAAAATTGCTAAATGTTACCTTCTAAAAGTAGGATGATTCCTCCAATGTTAGTAGTACCCTCATACATCATTGAGTATGGCGACAGACTCGTGGTGTGTTTAAACAAAAAAGTTATTCAGGCTAAAGCTGAAATTTTGTTTTCTTGGACAAAAGATGTTCTATGATATTCTTTCTGCCAGAGCTTGGAGGCAAAAGAAAAGTTTGAACAATCAACAAATCAACAAACCACCCACTGTCATTTAAGTCTCCCCATGTAGTTGTCATGCACACATCTGAAGAGGATTAAGAAATATTCAAGATTAAGATGTTTCAAATATTTCTTTATTTTGTTTTGGACCTGCATGAAATTAACACAAGTTACAAAAAGGCAGATCACAACAATATGTTTTAATCTCTCTATTACAAAAGGTTGTTGTAAACACCACTGCCCTACTTTCTAATTGAATTCTAATCCTCATTCACTTCAGGATAACTGTTTATGAATTGCTGCCAAGGAAGAGAATTAGAGTGTTTATGCTACACTGTCCTGTGAGGAAAATCAAAACGAGGCTGTCGGACTCTCCATTAGCTTGTCTGATGAAATTATCAGCAGAAGTTCAGTGACACGGACCAGGGAGCCTTAGAATCTGTATCCATCAATAGGATCATGCTAGGATCACACGCTTCCTTTATTTGCTATCATGTTAGCCTCCCATAATTGATTTTGGCCTGAAGGAGTGTTATCACCAAAGCTCTAAAAGGTCAAGTAGTGCATGGTGACAAACCTATCTGTCGAGAAAGGCAGACAGCACTCAGACAGCCATGTCTGTCTGGAGTTGAGGGAGAAGGTGACCTCATTTTATATACACCAGACAGCTAATCTACCCACGGCACTGCGCAGGACATGCATAGAGCCCATTGAAAGGTGCATATAGCAAAGCTACAGTTTTGCAAAGCAACTTCAGTGAAAAGGAAACTTGGGATAATTTTTGCACTGTGGATGCTATAAAGTGTTGGTGTTTGGTTTTCTGACACTATAGTCAGTGGTCTTCTAGCATAGCAGAGGCATATCATCCCTTTGTGCAAATGATGTGGGAAGTTTTCAAAGGCTTGTGTGATTTAGAGAGAGGGAACAGTGCTGCCTTTGATCTGTGCTGCTGTCTGTGTTGAAGATGTACAGGCCCCGGCCCTGCAATGGCACCACAGCGCTCAACCAACAATCGCCCCAACCTCCCTCCACCCACTTTCATCCCCAGAACACACAGCCCCCCAGCCCTGGCTAAGCACAATGGATACAAAGGGCCGAGGGTGCTATAGCGACAG